TTGAGTCAAATTTATTCGACTCGCGGAGTTTCGAGCCACTTGTAACCCTGTTTTGTGTTTTCCTTCAAATCTCATGCACCAGAAGTTACGTAGAGGACCATAGTTATGGATAATGCGCCAATAGTGCACCATAAAATGAAATTTCGGTGTAAGGTTATATTCAGCCTGATAGCACGGAACTAGCCTACAAATGTCGACGTATAGTTCATGATGTTCCTTTATGAGAACTTTTAATAAATTGTGCGTACCAACTTGATAAGATGGCGCGAGAACAATATCCATTATGTTGCACAAAGTAGTATACAGTGACCATACGTTATCGCCTTCCGGGATAAGATGCCCAATCATGAGTCCAAAATTTCGCACAAGGCACATCATTTCCGCGGCTTTAATGTTAATATTTTTCTTTCTTAATGCATCTTGAGTTATTACTGGCGGCTTATTACCGGATTCGATGTATCCATAATTAAAAGACTGAATACAAGAATTTATGGTATGTAAAGATATCATGCGAACTGTCGTGTAATAGTTTATTATAAGAATCATGTCATATTTACACACTCCTTCGAGTAAGTCGTGCATTATATCGACAGCATTATTGTTAACGACGTGAAATGACGGAATTTCGTTAAAAATTGAGTTTTCTTTTATCCCGGTCAATCTGTAATCGTCAGTTATAAGATCGTCATTATAATTTTCTAAGGTGCGTAGCAAATGTTCATTTTCTTCATTACATGTCAATAAGTCGCGCTTATGCCCCTTGCAGATACGACAGAAAAAATTACTCGAACAACTTGAATAACCAAGAATAGAATTTAAACCAGCATTATCACCGAGTATCATGGCCAATGAAAAATAAATCTTTTGCGATACTCCATTGCCTCGATCAACAGAGATTCCTTCAGATTCGAGAAATATTAGTTCCTGAACTATGACGCGAAAAATTTCGTTTCCTTCGGATGCAACATCTTGGTAATGAGCAAGCAGTGCTACAAAAATGCTATTCAATTGAGATTGGAATTCTAATGGAAAACATCGAAGACTTACATAAACCGCACTTATTTTGTGAATTCCAGTATGAGAACCGGTTGGATTATTACATTCGAATTCATCATAGTACATATATAAAGGAATTACGAATTTATCATCTGAAAAGAATTGACGCTGTTTAGTTTTCCAAGAAGAGGTGTGAATTGTATCGTCAATTATATCAGGATGATTCTGCTGATGCATATATGTATTTGCAATTTGAAAAATTCTCGGTGAACTAAAAATAGTTTTGAATAGTATCCGTAAAGGCACAAACGTTATGGTGACTTCAACCGGCACTCTCACAATTGTACCGTCGACAACTATGTCATCGATTCTTTGGCGAATGAATATTTTTCTAGGAGCTACATAAAATCCTGTTTTTTCCATCAATTGTATCCTCTTATATTCTGTTGCATTTTTAGAAAATGGACTCTTTAAGAAAGAGACAATATCTCGAAGATTATCCTGAGTATCAACAGTTGCAGTTACATCATTTTCTAACATGGTTCCAACAGTAGATAGTAACTCGGAGGTACTTTCGATAATCCTTTGAATAGCTGTACGGGACAGACTTTTGTCAACATGCAATTTTGACAAATATTTGTACGTTATTCTTTTTAATTGATTGCCAATATGCGGTAAATCGTTAATCGGTTCATGTTGTGGTGGTAAGGGGTCTTCTTCAAGTAAGTCAACGTCTTCAACTAAGTCTACATCCATTAAAGGCTGCTCTACATTTAATAATTCTGCACAAATGTTAGGTAAAGGATTCTGCGGCTGATGAGAATGAATGTTCCTTATATGACGTTTAAAGGAGTCTAATCGTTGAAACGTTCTCTCGCAACCAACCTGGCCACAAGTGTAATTTGTCAAGTTGATGTGATAAATCTGAGTGTGTAAAAATAGTGCTTCTGGGTTATTAAAGCCATCTTGGCAATAATTGTAATGGTCTTTAAATGCGCAAAAGTACATTTTTTAAATATTGCTTTATACGATAATTCGCAACCTGTTTATTGTTTAAAAAATTTTTTTAGTTTTATCTCACAAAATATGTAAAATATTATTAGAAAAAGTCATGAGATTCTCATTCAACAGTGAACTCTGCGTAAAAAAATATTGGAAAAAGGTTATTCACGGTCTCAACTACTACGTCGAAGCACAAAAACATAAAATAAAAATGCTTAAAAACGTATAATATATTTATATACATACTAGAAAGTCCCTCAAATTAATAATGTTCGAGTGTTGTTTTAAACTAAACAAGTTTATAAGAGCTATTTATTTTCTTGAAAATTATATTCTAATGTACTTATTCTTAACAGGTTAACACGAGCCTTTATCGTCGATAAAGTTATATAATCTTAAGACTTTGTACTGGCATTTAATGTATATCCACGCCCTTGATAAAAAATATAGTCTTCAAAATTGCGTATACACTTGTAGTGTCGCATTAAAGCTCGCTGATAAGACTTGTAACACACGTTGGCACTTTTTCCTTTTGTAAATATATTTTGTAAAAATACCTCTGAATAAACATCCATGTATTATACGCTTCGGGTGGATATACTAGGTTCATAACGTGTATGACTTTGAAACACGTATCTACTGCTCCTAATACGCTACTCAGTTTGTACTCTACGTTCTCGAATCGTACGTAGAAATCCTTCGCCGTCTGTAATGTTTCTCCTACTATGATCACACACGGTTGAATCGGTCGCATGAGTTTTTCATATTTCTTTTTCCTCTGTTCCAGAAAGATTTGCTTGCTTACGGAATCCTTAAAAGGCAAGAAATTGATAATATTAGAATCTATCTGATATTATTAAAATAAACAATTGTTTATTAATTGATAATGTTACTTACTTTGACGTATAGAACAAACGTTTCTTGAGCTTCTGCTATTGTTGGTTTCCACGATCCTTTATCCTTTTCTCGGATTATCGCTGGCGGTAGCAATATTGGTAACAAGTACATTGCAATAATGTCTTTGCCATCTGTACATAAGCCATTACGTAATTTATGTAAAAAAATATTATTGTACACAATGTATTAATTACCTTCTGATATCACTGAAGGAAGGGTATTCAGAATCTGGTGTGCAATCGAGTGCTTGTCTTTATTTGAACGCTCTCTTATAATATCAATGAGCTTATCTCTGCAGCTAGGCCAGCTGTTCAGAAGATTGAGTCCTTTCTCCGGAAACAGAACAGTGAAATCAATCGAAATCTGTAAAGAAAGGATCATTTGAAGAACGCAATTTTACAACACAATGACAACATTTTACAAATCATACAAATATTTCAAAATTTAATTATCCATTTAGTCGAATGCAATACAGTTTATTTGTCCAAGTTAAATGTAGTAAATTCCAAACCTTATTTATATGTTTTATTTCAGTAGAATGCGTTTTATCTCAACAACTTTAGATTTACTGAAAATTTACTTTAATTCGCCATAATTATTTCTCTCGCTTCACCTCATTCAATTTTTCAATTTTTTTTGTAAATTCTATCCATCTTATGTCAATAAAATGTGCAAAATATATTTGGAGAATATCATACCAAAGAGTATCCTACTGGATGTTTGAATAATGGCCATTCCGTCAGAATATTAATTATTGAGAGATCTTTGCGCTTGGTAAACTGGGCAATCCGATTTGGTGCTGTTTTCGTCCAGCGTTCCAATACTTCTGTCCATGGTTCTGTATAGCTTTTAAGCCACACTTGCGATTCAAGGAGCTGTTGCTCGGACAGTACTACAATAAATTAATATTGAAGAAATGATATACAACTATTCCCAATTGTTTAACATACGGACGGAGTATAAATGTAAGTAAAAGGCATGTACTTTAGTATGATTCATATGTGATGTAAACTACTTACAATTTTTAATCGTTATATCGTTAGAGGAAACCTGATTTGAAGAAGATTTTGAAGTCATTACACCTCTCTCCTTCATGGAAGTCTTAAGGTTTCTATACCTGTAAGGTAATTTTCCTTTTGACACCTTTTGTTTAACACCCTCCGTATATGGTTCTATGTAGTATGCGTCCTAAATCAACACACTTTTTAGTTTTTGAGTTAATGAAACTTAAGAATTTGTAACAGATATAAAAATCGTACGCACTGAACATTTTGTTGGAAACACTTCGGCAATTAATTTCGCCACGTTGTTAAAATGCGAATTTTTTAAGTCATTTCCATAAACGACCATCAAATGTTGAACGATTATAGTAGTTAATTTCCGACGCACGGCTTCATTGAGTTTACCATTTTTTTCGAAAGTACTCAGCACAATTTGTCCATCATTACACGTTGTTAAGAAACTTTCTAATTCCTATTAAAATTTATATAAATAAATTAGAACAAATGCAATACTGAATAAAGCAAATATCGAATAACTAACTTTAATTAATAAATGTATAAAAATTTTATAGAAGAGAATAATGGAGCCCATTATAAAATTTTACGTTCAATGATCGCAATTTTTAATCGGGCTTTTTTTTTAATTATCATAATAATATATACATGTAATATATACACATACACATATATGCGTGTGTGTGTGTGTGTGTGTGTGTGTGTGTGTGTGTGTGTGTGTGTGTGTGTGTGTGTG